ATTCGGATTAATTTCTCGTGCACAGCACTCAAATTTGATCACGATGCATCAAAACAATATTGGAAATACTCCGCTTATTTCCGGCTGAAATTTTGGGGAAGAGCATCTATCACATAGATCGTTATTTTTGTGGAACTGCAATAATTGGAAGTATATTACATACATGCAGGTAAGAATATTTTTTACTCCTGTTAAGGTTCAATTCGATTTGGACGTTTAATTACTGTACACCAGTTTTGAAGACAGGGGTTCGCATTTTCCGGTGGGGTCTTTTTACGGGGTCTTTTTCGCGGCACGTTGACTGTCTGATAAATAGCGAGATGAGTCTAGCTTTGCAAGACAGTGCACAGTAATTATAACTGTTGCTGACGGACAAGACTTACAAGTCTGGAGCAGGCAGTTCACCAGTAGGCACAGGAAACAGGCTCTGGTAGTCCCTTTTCAGCGGGTTCGAGGCATTGTTGTGAATGGCGTAGGCATTCCACCTTTCCACCTTGGGAGGAAAATAGCCCACGGGGATTTTCGCAGTCGCAGTCCAAGTGCCTCCGATTTCCTGCGACGTGACGCTGTACTCCATTGGCAACTCTTGCGCGATCGCGTTTCTCTCTCCGTTCAGCAGAAGTATCAGATGATGTCCCAGTCTATTGGATAATTATTTATATGTAGTACTTTTTCTCGTCGGCCATTTACATTCATTGAATTTCAGGTGGTTTTCAAAATAAACAAGATTTCAATATACTCACGGGCCGACCTCGATCTCTATATATTTGTTATCCGGTGCCAGAAAGAAGGCTTCCACAACTGAAAAAATATTTTTCAAGCATTAAATTTCGACATTACTTCTTCCTGAAATCGCAGCATGCGTTCATTGCCCGGAGCCAGACTCAACAGCTTGGATATAATACAGAAACTTCTGTACGAAGTTGAAATTCGTCAAACGCACAATAACTTGATTCAGGCGACAGCTATCTCAAAGAACAATCACAATGCGTCTCATCGTTGAGGGAAAAAGCCTGTTCCAACTCTCCATATGGAAACGCACACTATCTCATGGACCGATTCGAAACTCAACGGTCGACATACGAAACTTTGGGAGGTGGTCTTGCTTGGCTCGGTTTTCCGCGGTCTCTGAAATTCCAAGTCCAATTTTAGCACGTTATTCGTACCGTTTACGTAAATTCAAATATTAACAGCAAACGAAAATCATGAAATCGGGGACGTATTTAGCAATAAAAAAATTATAATCTAACGCACTTTCAATTCCGTTGTCCTCGTGTCCTCGAAGGCCCGTACTTATTTCCTGGAATACAAAGTAGGTGTCGCCGGAATCACAAAGCTGATCCGATCCGATTAACACGGGTAGAAGTCCTAGAACATAGACGGTCCTATTGACCTGATCTGAGCTAATGTACCTTCTGCTGAACTTGGCGAATTCAAAGATATAAAAATCTCTTGTTTGTTCCCTTCCCCACATCAGATGTCAATGAAGTAAACCAAGGGCTCCCGTGGACGAAGACCGCGCGTATTGACGCAAGGAAAAGAGTTGGTACCCTGTCGGCACATATTTTCGGCGAGTGCTCAAAGGCTTAAAAAACAAAAACTAGATGTCGCTTCTTTCAATCCACTATAACACATAACAATTCACCTAGTTGTTTCTTCGGACTTGTCTCTTATTATGAAAATAACCAGCTGAAGCAATATTTAGACCCAACAACAAAGCAATGACAGCTGACCTTCATAGTCCCAAAGACCGAAACAAGGACCAGGTTCCGCACAAGGTGGAGCGACGTCGTTGAAGAAAGGAGCTTCAACTCTGAGCTCCAAGTGATCTTCTTTCCCGGTCAGCGTTAGAGACACAGGGTTGTGCTGCACCGGAACACTGTCCCACATGGTAGTGATTTGGAATTCCATCGTCACTTCGTCCTGCAAGAGCTGTGCTGGCGGCGTCGTAGCGGCACCACGGCTCAAACTGAAGCAGCTAGCGAGCACCAGCAGTAGTGTTGCCAGCAGCAACGACGCCCTGAATCGCGTGGAAACGTGGTTCGAAGCATCAGGCAGCGGGGGAAGGTGATTAAATACGAGCTGGCAACCTCGTTCGTCCACCGTTCGTGTTTCAACGTATGGCTTCGATCGTTCATCGCGATGCATTGGACTGGAATTGTTGTACTGGTGGGTTTCTGCTGGTCTTGAGCCAAATTACCATCTCTTTAAACTGTGTTTATGCACGGAAAAAGTATTCACGCTACTTGTGAATTTCATTTTACTGGCGTTGCTCGAAAACGAGAAAAGTGGGCTGTGCTTGACTGATTCGTGTGTCAACTGACAACAACCGTTTCCAAGGTAATTATAACACAATACGACGAACTTACGACAAAACATTATCCTGTAATAGTAGGATGTTTACACTGAGGACTGGCATGTACGAATCAATAAATCTTGGGGCAGGTCCGTTAATGTTATGATTGTTTTTTTTTTACTTAATAGGATTATCAGAGCTTGCTCCAATTTTTGAAATGAACAAAGGTGAGAGAAACAAATATGTTTGTTCTTTCGTTACAGCATTTTAAAATTAAAATTTCATATCCCAATGACAGTTCTAATTTTCTTTCTGGATTTGAAGTTTTTTGAGGTTTTTTTATTAATGATTCACTCTGTCTGTTCAACTCTCCAAAACAGTTTAAACATACACATGGATGCTACAGTACCTCATTCTAATTTTATATTTGTCTTTTTTCACTGGATTTTCAACTCTGTTTTGGTTGCCAGGAACATATTACTTGGTTTGCAATTAAAGTCTGCTGTGGAGAAATGAGGCACTGTATGATTGATGAATGTTTTGTTCAAGA